CTGGACAATGTGAGAGCAGAGCACCTACACCCCACACAGGTGGGAAATGAGTGCATCAGAACTGAAGATGGATGGTTTGTGGCCACTGCTGTGTGAGGGCTGAGTGCACAGCATCACTCTTGAGAGCCTCCCACTCGAGCACATCAAAGTGCTCAGTAAGCATTTACTGGATCGATGAACCAATGAAGGAATGGACAAATACTCATAAATAATAACTGGTAATACACTCATACTGTTACTATTATTTTCCTGTCTTTAAAGTCAATACTTTGCACTATAGCATAGATTCATGAATTTACAAGTTCCAAGAATACCATCAAAAATAATGAAGAGGATGGAAATGAGTAATGGGGATCAGAGCTGTATTTCAACGATTTTTAGATAATTTTGACATCGATTTATGTATAATAATGGGGAAATTTGAAACTTATCCAAACAGAGCTAGAGACTAGAAAAGATAAATGAGTCTGAATATTTCTAAAGTTAGGGGACATTATTAAACATGGTTGAAGTACATTGTTACCATCTAGTTCCTGGTGGACTGGTTCTAAAGGGGTATTGAATGATAATGTTGATGCACGCCAACCCAGAAATTTCATGCTTGATTATATCTATTCATCTCCCAAAACATTAGCAAGCTCACAATGAAAGGAAATGTAGATAAATTTCATACTTCTGAAAGTGAAAAATTATAAGCATGCCCATTGTCAGGGAAACCATGAAGCCTCCTCACTGATAGTGAAACTATGTGACAATGTCCTTTCCCCTGTTGAATTTGATAACAATTAAAACAGTCCCAAGGGATTATCAAGAACATGATTTCAGATAAGAGCAGATAAACGATTACAAGATAAATATTCAAACAGCCACTAAGCAATTAAACTGAAAGCCTTATTTGTCACCTCAATGGAAAGAAGAAATTTAATAAAATCTAGAAGCATTTAGAAATTTTTATGGAATAGAAAAGGATGTCATTCATGTCCTGTATAAAATCCTACAGTGTACACACAAATAAAAATAAAAGCGAATCTTTTAAAGCAATGGCAATGGAGACTGGGAAATGTAACAGAGAGAATAGGCATGTCGCTTGCTTTCCAGTACTGATGGGTTAATACTGCCAGTCATTCGGGGAAAGAAAGCAGAGCTAAAGGAAACTAGCAAATTTCAATGTCGCTCTTAGAAGGGGATAAATGGAACAATATCATAAAAGAACGGTGAAAACTTCATACTAAGAGATCATCGTATCATTAGAGTACTAAAAACTATGCTTTGAAGATCAAACTCCAAAATCAAAAAAGAAAAAAACACTATAGAGTGAGTAATAGTCCATATGAAGTACTTAAGTATTAAATACATTGTTTGAGTGTACTGACTTTTTCTAAGACAACTTGTAGAGGAATGAAAGTATACAGAAATAAAGTAAAAATGAACAATGAAATTGAGCCCTAGTTTTCAAAATCCTTTACATAGAGGAGGAGGGAAGGAGTGGGTGTGGCAGGTTCAGCCTTTTGACATTGCGACATGATGTCATTTACAGAATTTATGCTTCAGAACCAAACAAAGGCATTACCAAAAGTAATCTCCTAACGTTGTATGTCTGTGAATTTGTGTTGGGTTGCATGTGGGCCAGAGGTTGCCCATGCCTGGTGTTAGGCAGCTTTGGACCTACCTCACTTTCTAGGTTTTAAATGAATATGAACTACAATTAATTTGTTTTAACATCATAATCTCTAAAAATATAAAACAAAATAACTTATTAATTTCATTTTATTTATTTCTTTATTTAATTTGTATGTGTCTGAATCTCTCACTGTGTGAATTTATCTCTGTGTGTGTCTGTGCATGTGTCTCTGTCTGTGTATGTGTGTGTCTGTCTGTCTGTCTCTGAGTGTGTGTGTATTCTCTGTGTTCTCTGTGTGTGTCTCTGTCTGTCTCTTTGTGTGTGTGTATTCTCTGTGTGTGTCTCTCTTTGTGTGTGTGTCTCCCTCCTCCACATCCACTTTTCCCCAATGTTAGGATTACAGATGTGTGACACTATGCCAAGTCTGTTCTCTCGCTCTCGCTCTCGCTCTCGCTCTCGCTCTCGCTCTCGCTCTCGCTCTCGCTCTCGCTCTCGCTCTCGCTCTCGCTCTCGCTCTCTCTTGTGTGACGTGTGTGTGTGTGTGTGTGTGTGTGTGTGTGTGTGTGTGTGTGTTCGCACCTGTGCTCACAGCACCCATGCAGAAATCAGAGGACACCCAGCAGGATCAAACTCAGGTACTCAGGCTCAACTGCAAGCACTGTTATCTGCTCAGCTCTCACTGGCCCAAAACAAACTTCTAAAAATTGTCAGAATATGATGATGTCTTCTTTCTCACCAAGAGAGTGTGTTCTATACTTCCTAATAACTTCCAGATGTGAACTCAATATATAGGAACACAATATTTAATAGCTGGGTTTGGTATATATAAATTTTCATCTCACCCTTCCAAACACACATGCATCTGACAAACGTAAGGGGCCCAATTATAAACGAAGCCAGCTGACAGAGGGAGTGCATCTTACTGTCTTGTCTTTCCCACTTCTCTAGGAAAATAAAGGAAAGTCTGGAGTGTTTCCCGGTTAAATTGAATAACCTGATCCACACACTGGCACAGATGCCAGCCACAAGCCTCGCCAAACCTGCCCCTCAGACTCCTCACCACGAATCCTGCATCCTGCATAAAACCAGGACAATTCAGAGAGCCACAATATTGGGGTTCAGCAAGACGCACAACAACGTAAGTCAAAATCTGCGCCACAGACTCTGCTACACATCCCTGTAAGGCATGGTGGTTTTACTATGCAAATTGAAAATCAGTTCCAAGTGGAGAACTGCCATTAAGGAGATGTTTTAAGAAAAATCATAACAACCAGAGCTATTAGTGGAGAACTTTCGGAGGGAACTGTTCCTACCCTGTGGTAGAATATAAATCAAGAGCTAATTAAAGTGTCTGCAAGAAAGGACAGCAGAAATTAGGCAATGCTGCCAGAATATAAAATTATGGTATCCTCATATATTTTATTTATAGGTAATCGTGGCATTACAAATTGCGTCCCTCAGTTCTGATTATAATTTTTTAACAGAAAGTTTCCTTCTTTGTTTAATTTACCTAAAAGCAGGTTTTAGGATCTATGACAAGTTTTATCTCCATCTTTTGACTTTTGCCTGTTGGTCTGCAGCTGTACCTGATTGAGGTGACACTCAGCGACAATAGGAAGAGCCTGATCAAAAAGTCATTTGAGCAGTTCTCCAGACTTCACAGCCAAATTCAGAAGCAGTTCTCATCGCTGACTCTCCCAGAGTAAGGCACAGTCCCTCACCTTATTTGGCCTTCAGAGCTTATTCTTGAGCGAAGTGGGAAAATGATGGCGAAGAGATTTCCTGCTTGGGAGCAACGCGCAGTGTCTGATGCAGGACGCGCTCCCAGCAGAGCCTGAGCAAAGAGCCCTTGCAGCAGAAGGCAGAACATAGTTGGCAATTTTCTTTTTTTGCTTCCAGCCATTGATTTTTGTAGATGGGAAAAAATCAGAACCTCTTTCATTTTTCATCACTTATTGGGAAAAATTGTTTTATTTCCCTGTTTTAAAATTTAATCTTCTCAGTTGTTTTCTATAAAAATGGAATTGAATTGAAAGTCAGAACTAAATCAACATGCCGACTCTTTTGACAATAACTGAAATTTAGAAACTCATATATAAGCACACATATATACACATAAAGAAGGATAGGGAATTTCTGTGCTGGGGGTATAATAATATCAATTGGTTTATTTATAATTCACATTTGCTGTTCTCAAACCATGGTTTTCTTAACCATTAATTACTAAACTTGCATGATCTAAATGTTATTTATTTCATGTACATTTTGAAGGAGTTGCTGAGATCATCTTATAACAATGGGAAAGATTAAACATAAGCTAACTATAGTTACAATGAGAACAACTACTGTTCATCTAATTTGGAATATTTGTTAGTTAAAAAGGGGCAAATTTAGGTCTTTGATTTTTGTGTATAGCAAAATTGTATTTTAACTTTAAAATTGTGAGTTCCCCAGAAATTATGCTATTGGCAGTAAGACAAACCAAATTTTGATTTTTCTTTCATCTGCACTAGGGTTTTTGATAAGCGAGCCAACCTTTATTGTTGTTAGTGGCCACTTATGACATGACATGCTTTACACATGTAGATTTGTATTTGTTCTTTGGTTTAGTCACTTTCTATAACATAAATACAAGTTGTCAATGGGTGAAGAGACATTTTGGAATACTGAAAAGGTATGTTTGCTGTTGTCATAGACATTTTGAAACATGAACATCTTTAATACCTAGAAGACAAGACATTGGACAGCAGTTCTGGAACATGAGAGGAAAGTGCATTCATTCTGGAAACTTCTATGCACAGGTTTAGGATTTTTTAAAATAGAATCAGAAAAAAAGAAACACGAGCAAAAAGTCTTCAAACGTCAGCTGCAAAGTTCAACGTCGAGCATTGTCATCATATCCACTAACAGTCATGAAACACTATAAATTAAGCTCTGTTAAAGGCTGCCCTTTCAAGCCTCTTGTGTACTGTGGAGAACTTCAGAAGTGCGAGCACCTCTTTCCACATGCCTCTTCTCAATGTCCAGCCTTAGTTAAGATTCTGCTCTGCACATGACTGCTGCCTGGCAATGAAGCTAAGTTGATATTCAAACCATTTAAGGCACCCACTGAGGGAGGGACATTTAGCCTTGTGTGCCCTGAGCAGCTCCTGTGGGCTGGCACTCCCACAGGGGCCAAGATTGGAGATCATACATAGAGATGAAAAAGAGGACAAGACTTCCTCTGACTTTTACATTTACTGAGGGAAGCCCTAAGTGACTTCTGTAAATCCCATCCGAGAAAAAAAAAAATCAGGAAGTCACAATCAGGAAGAATGAAATTCTAATTAGTCATAGCCTGCAATAGGTGGCCTCCAATGAGCCATTTGTACTTCCGGTGCCCTCCAAGTGTACGCAGGCTGGGAGATTTTCTTAGAACGAATGGCTTTCATTAAACTCGTCTGCTGGAGGAAGAGAGATTCTTTTTCCTCTTCCTGATTTTCTTCATGCTTTCCTCTCAGCCTCAGAATTTTGTTGTGTGTTCTCCCAGAATCTAAAAAAACATGCAGGACCAAACCAAAAGGAAAAGGAAACCCTGGTGTTAGTACTGGGAAAATGAATTGCCCTAATTATTAGAACAACTCTATTTTCAAATCAGGACTTAAAAACACAAAGAATAAAAAATAAATAAATAAATAAATAAATAAATAAATAAGTTGTTTGCGTTTGCCTGCTTTTCCCCTCAACAAACTTAGAGAGAATATGATAGTAGTGTCAGGTAAAACCGCATAAAGATACTTTTCAATAAGCGATATCCACATGGCATGTAGTAGATGAGCTTTAGATGGACTGAATGACACTAGTACAGCCCAATTCAATTCTGTGCATATATTTATACTTAGAATTTTCAGTATCTATAAAACATCACAAAGACTGAATTGTTTCATTATATAAATATGGAAGTTTTGCACGTAGAAGTATGAGTTATATTTAAAACTAACTTAAGCAATCTAATTGCCAAGATCATTTCCAAAACTGCTACAATATGTGTGTGTGTGTTTAATTACTTTATATTATAGACTAATTACATATTGGTACTGACTTTCACAAGTAAGCACAGACCAAAATATCTTACTAATTTAATCCTTAGATTAATAAAGTATTTTAAAATATCAAATGCTACTTATTTACTAGGTAATAATTTAAGTATATAGATTTATTCATTCTGCACCTTCATGACCTTTTTAACAAGTAGCAGGGATACCAGGCAGGGGTGGTGCACACCTTCAATCCTAGCACTCAGGAGGCAGAGGCAAGTGGATCTCTGAGTTCGAGTCCAGCTTGGTCTACAGAGTGAGTTCCAGGACAGCCAAAGTTACACAGAAAAACCCTGTCTCCAAACAAACAAACAAACAAACAAAAACAAGTAGCAGGGACTGCCCTGACTTGAAGTCACCACCTGCTTCTGTGTGCTTGCTGAAAAAGCTTCGCACCCCCTCTCATTTCTCCTTCCAGGAAGCACTATAGGCAGGCCTTCATCTAGCAGAAGTATCAGTAAAGGCAACAGTAAGTTTCTAGAAAGATACAATTAAGCATAAAAATATATTACCAGATGGGACCAGTAACAGGTTATCCCACCGAACAACTGATATTAAATCCAACTCACCAAGTAGTCTTCAGGTAGATCACAGAGAAGCCTTCTGGTCAGACTCACAAGAGTGAGGCCACAAGAGTGAGACTCACAAGAGTGAGGCCAGATGGAAGCAGATGCTACTAGATGACATGTCTAATTTATATCATGCAATAATATCTGTCAAGAGCCCTAAGAAACAATACAATCAGAACTCTTTGAAAAATTTTAAGTCATTAATTTCAGAAATTATGCATTAGCCCCTACATGTACTGGGAGGAAACATTTGTAGTCTGCTATAAATACAGTAATAAATATCATATTAAATTAACAACATTAAATTAAATTAGTGCTAATATCAGTGATGATTAAAGTAGCACAAATGACCACAATTGTGTCTCTGAAATGGCTAGGATTAATCCTGTACATCTTGGCTTTTTCTAATTTTTTTTTTTTTTTTTTGGCCCTCCACTGGTGCAGTTGTTAACTTTGTGACCACTCCAAAAGAGGTTGATTTTCCTACTGACCAAAGTACCACTTCTTTCTTTTAAAACAGATTTCCTCATTGGTGGCACTTACCATTTACAGATTCGGATCATAAGAGAATCAGAGATCTAAGACATTACCTGGAACAGATGCTGAGTGGGTCTTATGAAGTCGCCAATGTACGTGACAGTTTATTTTTTTCCACTTTCATGCAAACGTCAACTATTGACTTATCTTTACCAAAAGTAGTTTTAAACGTGTCAGCATTCTGTGGTTTCTTCACTCAATAAGCACGTATGTCTAGCATGTCTGAAGTCCATGAAACGAAGTCCATAACTCAACTTACTTCACCTTGCCTAGATGATGCAATCTGAGTTAAATGGACCACAAAATGCATAGATGCTCTGGAATCTCAGAAGCATGGATTTCTTCCAGATTTGATATAAAAAGTATGGATTAGGAGACAGACAGTATCTTTCAAGCATTTAACTTGGGGTTGGATTTAACAGTTTTTCTAGGGTGATGTCCTGAGAAGGAACAAGCAACAGGGGATCATGGGTAAGGAAAACCATGTTACTCTACTAGGTTTCCATTGGGACTGTGACCGAGTACAACAGTCAAGTGGCTTGAAGCAACACAAATCTATTTTCTTTCAGTTCTGGAACTCAGAAATCTGAATATGGGACTTTAGGGACTGAAGTCAAGTTAATGGTAGACCTGCTCCTTCTGAAATAGTCCATCTTCTAGAACAGAGATTCTCAACCTGTGGGTCATGACCCCATTGGAGGTTGCATATCAGATCCTACATATCAGATATTTACATGATGATTGATAACAGTTGCAAAATTACAGTTATAAAGTAGCAACAAAATAATTTTATGGTTGGGGGGTCACCACAACCTGAGGAACTGTATTAAAGAGTTACGGTATTAAGAAGGTTAAGAACCACTGCCCTAAATGGTCTTTTTCAGCAATACAGTGGCACATTCAGAACTCAGTTCCTGCCATCACACTTTTTTATCTGGCTCTAACTGTTCTTTTGCCTCCACTAGAAGGATGCTAGTCATTAGACTAGGCAAACCTGCACTACAGAGGACAAACTTACCATCTCAAGGCCTTCAGTTTAATTTTATCTGCAAAAGCTCTTTTGTTGTGTAAACTAACATTATATAAATTAGATCATGAATATCTACTGGGTGGGGTGGTAATTATCCTACTGATACTAGGGATGTATGAAAGAGTATAAGAATTAAACAAATTCCTTTGTATCTTCATATGGAGAAGAGAGAGAAAGTGAGGGGAAATGTTTCATGTGTGTTGATATTTTTAAGTACAAATACTACCAAAGTCCAACTTGGTAAACCATAAGTTTCATTGGGGTTACTTACGGGCATATGGGTGAGAGTCACTTACAGAAGCAGAAATGACTCAAAGACAGCCACATCACCAAAGCCCACCCAAGCATGGGTGACAGCTCCCGAAGCTGGGAACTTGGAACACACTGCATAGTCTGCAGATGCCTCAGCAGGTTGGAGAATGTCCTTTCCAAATGGCCTCATTAGTCTAAACCTTTTCCAGGCAGCTCAGCTGGTTTCTGCTTCTTCCCATCAGTTGGTCTAGTCTCAGAGTCTTTCTTGCAGGTTGGCTTGTCTGAGAATCTTCTTTGCAGCTTAGCTTCCTTCAGCCTAAGAAGACTCTCGGCTGTTATTGCTTACTGTGGTATGGAGGGCCCTAGTGAATCTAGTCAGTTTCAGGGACTTCCTGAAGCTATTTAGAGTTGTTTACCTTCCTGCATAAGGAGATTCCTGAGGGATGGATTGTTTTAATCTTGGGGGTAAGAGGGGTTGCTGTTACTCAACAATATCTTCTATCTGTAATAAGAACTTACTCAATGTAACGAGTCTGTCTATGTCCTGCCAACAAGCTCCAAAATAACCATATGGAGACTTATTATTAATTATGAAAACTTAGCTTAGACTTGTTTCTAACTAGCTCTTAGAACTTAACCCATTTCTATTAATTTATATGCTAACACATGACTCATGGCTTGTTACTTCATCTACATGTCAGGCCTCATTGTATGTGCCTGGCGACTTTGTCTTCTTCTTCCCAGAGTTTTCTCAGCCCTGAGAATCCTGCCTAGCTATTGGCTCTTTAGCTTTTTATTAAACCAATCACAGTGACATATCTTCACACAGTGTAAAGGAATATTCCACAGCATTTCCCCCTTTTTGTCTAAATAAAAAGGAAATGTTTTAACTCTAACATAATAAAACTATAAACAATGAGAACAATCATCGAGTAAGAATTACATTTGCAATATCCAGTCCATTTGTATTTGGCATATTTGGAGAAAATAGTCCATTATTTATTTTATCTTGATGATCCCAAAGGTCTACACCTAATTTACCTTCTATCATAACTAAGGAAAACTGCATCTATAATTGCCTAGTCTTCAATTCCACCAAAGACTCTAGAAGGACATAATACTACTTGAGTAAACAGGAAATGCAGTGCAAGCAATTTCCAAAACTATGAGAAATGACAGAAATAGCTGGGTGCCTGGACAGTCACCCAAGATTCCTCTGTAATGTTGGGGCATCCATCTTTGACAGACTTTTCTATGAAGCAGGAATTTTTTGAAGAACTGTCCTACCTTGTCTTGCCAAAGTTTGGCAGTCACTCTCTTGTGTCCTGCTTGTCCAATTTGGACAGCATACTGTCAGCAGTCAAGGCAAGAGCAGTTTCTTGCCCCAATGGCTAACTTTTCCACCAAGAAAGTAAATTCCATATGGAGGTTTTTAGATGCCTATCATCCTTTTATGAAGTAATAGATGCTGCCAGGAGCTGACATGTCTCATTGTCATGAAAAACCTTATGTTATTATAACATCTTAAATGCCATATTCTGTAGGTCTTTGAAGAGTTTGAAGATCATCTATCTACTTAAATTATGTCTTTATATGACCCTGAAAACATATCTAACATGACTGTAAGTTTGATTGTTATAAATGATTGTATTTTCCTAAATAGCTTTCAAGGACTAAAACTTTCATTTTTAAATGAGATGCGTAGGTATAATACCTTAAACAAGAAATAGAAACATGTCGTACAGTGTAACAATAACCTTAAATTTGTTGTTTGAAAATATACAAAATTCCATACCAATGTAAAATATTTGAGACAAATAACTGTTCAAAAGTAGACTCAACAATCTACACTTTTATCCTATCATTTCTATATCATATCCTCCTTTTTTCTTTTAGAAAGAGATCCTTGAATCTAATTTCTTTTTTCCCTTTTTTTTCTGACCATGACCAGTAACAATTTGAAACCAACTCCATTAAATGATGACAAATATCCATAACCCACCAAACAACTAAAAGCCATCTACCCCACCTCTTGGGAATGTGGGCATCATATTCTCTAGACTACTTCCTGTTGTCTGGGGATGCTGCCATCTTTAGGGGATCCTGGGAAAATCAGGATAATCCTAGGAGAGCTAGCTGTTGTCTAGTTTTGGTTCCGCAATACCTTAAAACTCCTGTGTAATAAACATACAGCCAAGAGACTCATTTTAGTTGGAGTTTCTATGATCCAACATTTTCTATCATTTTACTTGCATCATTTTATATTTTCTATTTTAATCATAACTCTTACAATTAACACACAAATGAATTTTGTATTATATATACGATATAATCTTTGCCTTTTAGTTATAATGCTTAATTATTTACATCTGCTGTTGTGTGTGTGGCGAGGTGTGTGCTCCTATATGTGTGAGTGTGTGAGTGTGTGTGTGTGTGAGTGTGTGTGTGTGTGTGTGTGTGTGTGTGTGTGTGTGTGTACATCTAGGTCTATTATCTTACAAGTGCTTTCTTTAAGATGCACTTGATGTATTTTTTCTTTCTTCCATTATTAAAATTCATTGTTGATAATTCAGTTCTGTGTTAAATAGTTTCGGAGTGATATACTGATTAACTGGGGCAATTTCCACACAGATTGGAGCATGTGTTTCTAGTATTTTAAGCCCAATATGATTTGCATTTTTCTTAAATTTCCCAGTGATGTGAGACCCTAAAACAGTCTGTTTAACCCATTTGTACTTCATACACTCTGATAATAATACATATTAATTTATTTGTTCTCTGTTTTTAACATCTTTGCTTTTCCAAACGTCTTTAGACTCTCTTCAGATACATTGTTGCTTCTCTTTCTCATAAGCAAGTCTCAGAGTTTCCCATGTTTGTACTGAGGGTGAATCAACACTGTTGGTCCTCCAATCCTTTGAAGCCAAGTTTAAAAATCACATGCCTAGCTCTTGCAATTGCTTTTTGCAGAATATGGATGAAATGACCTAACCTACTGTCACTGTGAGAATCTGGCACTGCAATCACCTCCCAGGGTCACAGTTTCCAAACGTCTGTCGTGCCTGCCCCATACTCACTTCACCTCACCCCTCAGAAAGGCTATGCTGCAGATTCCTGTCTGTGGTCATTATCACCCCCAAAAGCTTGTTAATGTTTCTTTATTTGCTAGGATAGCATTCTCAATCTTTCTGGAAGCAGTTTGGAAAATTCTATAGAGATTATGGGCTAAAATTCTGTCCTTCTTGTATATGAGTCAGATCTGGGCTTGCAAAACACACAAGCATACATACAAACATACAAATTCACATACAAACACCCATCTGAG